TCATATTTTCTCATTTCATTTTTAATGCTTTTTCTTCAAGAGGTTAAAGTTAAATCCAAAATCCATTCCTTCAACACGTATTTGACTGTCAGCACTATGTTATGTAACTGAAAATACACAGATGAATAAAACATGGCATCTTCCCTTAAGGAATTCCCAATTGGGAGAGGAAGACACATGGAAAAATAAAAGTAACAGAGTGTAGTAATTGCAAAGATGAAATAATTACCAGGTATGAAGGGCAGCTCACCAGGGGGCTGGCTGGAGTGTTTGACTCTTGTATAAAGTATGACTAGGAGTGACTCTGGAGTGGGCAAGGCCAGTAGACATTATGCCCAGTGTCAGGTACAGATGGATGAAGAGGGATGCGGGTAGGGAAAGTATAAGCTGGATGTTGTGTTGGAAGTAACGGTGGCTGAAATCTGAGTAGAGCCAAGCCAGACTGTGGGTGGAGCTTGGGTGTTGTCAGCATAAGCAGTTTCCTGGCTGGTTTTAAGCAGGGAAGGGACATCTTTAAATTAGTTTGTCAGGAAACCTCCAAGTGCAGTGTGGAGAAGACACTGGAGAAAAGCAGTAGGAGACCAGAAATCAGATGAGTGGAACAGTGTTCAACCAAGCAAGGAATTAGGTGCTGCTTGTCAAGTAAAATTTGAGGGGTGGCATGATTGGATCTGAGGGATGCAGCAGAGAGAAGGGTCAAGACTAGCAGGTTTCTAACACAAAAAAAGCAGTTCATGGTTCTGCTGCCTACTGAGGTGTGGAGATTACAGAAGGGCAGTTGGTTGGGGGCAGACACATGAGGTGTGAGGTGACAAAGACATCACCTCTGTCTGAATATTAACTGAGTGAAATGCAACAGTTGAAATTGCCTTAAAATAATCTAATCAACTCTGTTTGATAATGCGTATGTTTTGTTACTTCTAAATAATGAAAAGGAATGACAAAAAAAAAGATTAATTTCTTGGTCAAGAAATGTGACAAAGTTGAAAGATAAAATTCATGCACAGGTCACATACAGACACCAGTAAATTTACACTTCTTTGAGGGTATGCAATTTAAAACACTGCTGTAGTTCAGATTTCTAATATATAAAAACACAATCTCTGACCTCAAAGAACTTGACACGTGTGAAAAATGTGGCTATAATTATGTTTGAAGGTGTATAAAGGAGCTAGCTATAGAAATATTGCTGAAAAAGAAAAACATTAAGGAGATTCGTAAATGGCCCCATCAGATGGCCCCAAACATTAGATTATATTTTATTATTCTAGAATTTGCACCTGCCTTTCTCTCTTCTAAGTGTTCTTTGGCCTTTATTTAAAAGCCAATAGTGAAAAGTTGGTTTACTGCTCAAGTTCTCAACTGTAATATATAAGTAGTATACTAGGAGACCACTGATGAAGCCAGAGCCATGGTTCAGTGGGGTTTCCATCTGTAGAGTAGCCATAGAACCTTTTTTTTTTAAGGCGGCTTACTTTTTATGATGTCAGCTTTAAATGTTTGAATATGCTGCAGACATTATTAATATTTTACTCTTGAAATTACAACGTTTCTTGTTAGCCTGACTTCCATAACACTGTTCCTAGCAAGATAATGGTGAAGATGATAATTCACTTTCACTTTGATTCTAATAGTACTGAATTCAGTTGTTAAGCTCCTCATTTCTTACTGAGTTCTAAGAGTAAGAGTAACACAGCATAGTGCACTCTATTTTTAAAAAAATGATTCATCCTGTGTTATACCCTTTGATCTTTTATGAAATATCTGTGAGGTAAAAACATGAAGTGAGATTCTGTCCATTTTACTGATGTGGAAACTGAGTCATTGAGAAGGTGCTTCAAATCACAATGATAGCACGTAGTTACTAACGCATAGGCTACCCAGGAGTAGGAAAAGGCTCAAAGGACCACCTACGAAGCCTTTCCTCTGAACCTTAGCCCCTCTCTCATCTCACTGAGAAGCACTCACTCACTGGATGGCTCAGTGTCCAGCTACAAGCAGCTGGCCTCCTCTGAGGGCAGCCCAGGCTGTTAGACAGCTCTGAGGATGGCAACTCACGAATCAGAAACGTACTTACACCTCCTCACAGGTACTAGAGTCCTGCCCTCTGATCAGACACATACTTCTCTATCCACGCGGTATTGTAAAAAATATGCGTTTGGTCTTTTTCCTGGTTTCTGACATAGAGCTCTTAAAACCTTTTAAGTTGCTGAGGTATTTTGTATGCCAATGAGATGATTCCCCTGAAGATGGGGGGGGAAGGGGATCCGAGACGTTTCAGAATTGGGGGTGGAAGGCCCTGGTTGTCAGAGTTACTAACCTTGTGGTTAGAAGGTTAAAATTATCAGTCCACTCTCTGACCTCCAGGGAGGGGAGAGGGGCTGGAGATTGAGTTTAATCATTAATGAACAATAATTTAGTCAATTATGCCTATGTAATGAAGCTTTAATAAGAAGTCTGCAACCACCAGACTAAGGGAGCTTCTCTTTTGGTGAGCACGTTGATGTACGGGGAGGGTGGTGCACCCGGAGAGGGCATGACAGCTCTAGACCACCTGTGCCTACTCCCCATTCCTTACCCTATGCATGTCTTGAATTTGGCCAATCCTGAGTTATATTCTTTACTTTCCTGAGTTCTTTTGAATCATTGCCTAGCAAATTGTGGAGAGTAAGAGGGAGGGGGCATGAGAAAGTCTGGATTTATACTAGTTTGTTGGAACTATGGGTGGTCCTTGGGACTTGGGACTATCGTGTAAAGTGAGGGCAGTTTTGTGGGACTGAGTTTTTAAGCCTGTGGGGTCTGTGCTAACTCCAGGTAGTGTTGGAATAGAGTTGAATTGGAAGATACTCCGTTGGTGTTGGAGAATCGGTAGGTATTGGAATGATGTATTTTATGTCGGAAGGAAACAGCCCAACTATGTTCCCTCCTAATGTTTGCCTTGTGCTTTTTGTTATATGGGAGTCCCTCAGACTTTTATTAGGCCTTTCTCTAGATCGTTCCCAGACTTGATGTGTGTGCCTAATAAAATTGGATCAGCAGATTAAATCATCATAATTTAAGTATGTGGTTTTGTTAAATGGTGTGTCACCACATTATATTTAAATGTTCTTTTAAAAAGATATAGTAGCATATTTATCTGTCATCCATCCAGAATGATTGGGTGCATTCTCCTCAGTTTAGCCATATGTGGATTACTCGGTATTGCAGTAGGCAAGACAGTTTAATTTTTTCTTCACCCACTCAACACTAGTTTTATCATCTGTAAAGTGGCAAAAATAATATCTATATCATAACATTCTGGTGAGGATTAAAAAAATTAATGCAGAACACATAAGATAGTACCTGACAAACATACACTCAGTACATTTTAGCTGCTATTCCTATCATCACTACTACGACCATTACAACTATGACCGCTATTATCATGCCACTAATACCCTTGTTTTTTTGAATCTAATTCATAGCATGACAAGTGGTCGTATAAACTCTCCTAAGCACATGTTTGCTTACAGCAAGCTATATTGGGGACGTGAGTTTAATCGATTGTGTTACTACACTAAACACTGTCATGATAAAAAACATTTTATGCGCTCTCTTCTCTGAGTTATTTTTTCAATTTTAAGGATCATAGGAAGGGGAAGCATGAGTGAGAAAATATGCAAATATGCACCAGTATGACTTCAAAGTGGCTTCACTGCAATGGGAGCCAAAGTTTCAAGTATCGTCATTCTTTAGGCACAAACAACCATTGTAAGTGGCTCTCTGAAGAGTTCAGTCATTTGACTGAACCTTGTATCTGAGAATTAGCTTGCTAATTGTGTTTACAACAAAATATGTTAAGGTTTTCTTAACAGCTATTAATATGTTAGAATAGCAAATTTATTTTGTATGCAGGTAGTTTAAAAAAGAAACAAAAACCCTCCATGTTCTTATGCAACATTTTTCATGCCTCCCTTCTATTCCATTTTATTGAACCAAGATTGTAAACCATAATTTTTTTTTTTAATGTAATCCCATTTGATTGGGCAATTAAGTTGCTTTTGAGGACATTCCCATCCTTACAGGTGAAACCTGACTTACACCTCTTCCTCTGGATTAATTTGAAGCCTGAAAATGGTAGCATACCTAGAATTATTATATGCATTTTTAATATCATTTTGTATAGTTCACACTAGTGAGAATCAAAAGAAATTTTAACTAAAATTTATTTGAACCTAAAGCAAATATCCAAAAATTTGGTTTGAGCCACTATATCCTCTTTACATGTTGTTAATTCTTTTTCCTGATGTCATCTAAAATTCTCTGTGCAAAGATATTAGGAAGTGGTATTTAATGTCTGTCCTGCTGGGTGGCCAGTACATTGTCGAAGTGCCTTAGTGCCCTGCTTTACCACTTGTTCCCTCCTGTGCACTGTGAGAGCAACTTTGACAAAGAAGGAAAATCTTTATTCGATAATCACCACACATTGTGCTCAGGGTAGCAGTAAAGAAAACTTGGTATTTGTTCCACAGGTTTCTCAGATAGTTTTTGATACCTGTCATTGCTGCTGTAGATAAGCTTAGACAATAGAGAGCATTTTCCTCATCTTCTTCATGTACTCACTGTTCCTTCTCAAAGCCATCATGATTTTGAAAAATGTTAAAATGTTATTGAAATAGGCTTAATTTTAAAAACATTTTTCTTTGCCTTTCTGTCTGAATAGACTGATTAGTTTGGGGTGTATATAGAGGTGAAGAACTCTGATTTAAGACACATTTCCTAAATGTGGTTTGCTCTGAGCTTCATCTAATGTCTTAAAGACACTTAATAAATTTTATTTTTCCAGGATTTAAAAATTGAAAGTTTTAACAAATTTACTGAAATTTACCTTTCCTTTATTATAGTAACTTTTCTTACTTTTTTATTGTAAGGTTTTTCACAAACATTTTGTTTCTAGAGTGTTTTACCTTTTATGTATTATAATTTTGTCCTTTCAAAGTATTTAATGTCCTCTCTTTCAGTCTCTGTAGAAATGCTGGAAAAGAATTTGAAGCAGATGGGAAGGCAGCTTCAACAGCTTGAGAGAGATTTGGAAACCTTTCCCCCTCCTGAGGACGTGCATGATAAGTTTGTGACAAAGATGTCCATATCCTTTTAATATCTAAATAACTTAAATTACTAGTCAGCTAGAATTACAAATTATTTAACGTTTTAAGTACACTTGCATAAACAGAGATCATTCTATAGTGCCAAATTGTAGGTCTAATCTTTGCCTTCTTACAGGGAAATTTATCAGTCTATCATGAACAATACGGAAATATATTCTATTGATTTCCCTTTTTTCCCCTTTTTATCAACTTGAATAATATTTTCTCTCATCTTTTCCCTTCCACATGCCCTGTTTCCTTTTGAAGATCATGGGAGATTGAAAGGATATGAAAACTCAATTTTGAGGAAGTTTGAATCTAACGCCATGATGTGATTTAGATATTTTGAAATGTTTCAGGATAAAGACTGGTGTGTCTAGTCAGCTGAATTTCAAGGGTTGGTGTATACTAAAAATGGACTCATGTTCCAGAAACTTGACTATTTTCTAGAAATACTACATAGTTCCATAATCAAAATTGAGATTGTCACAATCACTGTGTGTGTAGATACTCTCCAAAATTAAAATAAAATTGACAGGTATATGCATGTGTATACATACATACATATATATATGTAAAATAAATAGCATTAGGCTTGTGTCCTGCTTAATTTAAGGTTTCTTTTGAATTTAATTATCTTTGGTTTTGCTAACTTTGTGGCTTAATCTCTAATGAGTAATTGAAGTAATAAACTTTATTTCCTGAAACTAATGTTGAATTGCTTTGCAAACCATTCTGTGAAATTAGAGACTGATATCTTTTGTGTTATAATAAAGTATTACTACTATGAATTATTAAAATCCCATATGGACTTCAGAATTCTACATGAAAGGATAACCTACTTTTAAAATGAGCTCTTATAAATAGACACTCCTAGTATTTTATTTTAAACTAAGTTGCTTGAAATAAAGTAACTGCTTTTCCTCTTTCCATTGTTCTCCACTGAGATTTGGCAAATCACAAAATTATTATTTGGCTTGTCATAGGTTTTCTTGTATATGCTTTCAAGTTAATTGTGAATTAGTTCAATTTTAGCTTTCTTTACTATATCTTTTGGGAAATATCATAAAAATGCACTCTAGCAACAATCAATTCTGGCTAATGTGTTTCCTTTCCTATCTTTCCTACCTAGCCAGTTTCCTCTTTTATGAGGCAGGGTACCGTTATCTCTCCACTGGAGATGGTTGTCTTTTTAAAACTAAAAATGAAATCTACATTTATTCATCAAAACTATATTTTGCAGTACCTTCTCATTTGTCATGGTTTTTAAAACTAAATTTGTAAAATTTGTTATTGCAGAGTTCTATTAGTTTCACAATTCTTAGCTTCAACTCAATCATTTTTATCATGTTAAAATATTCATATGTGCCAGTTTATCTTAATCATTAAGTACTGTTAATTGAAGTACTTACTATTGTTCCTACGGATAGAAAGCATTTTAGAAAAAGTTTTGCTTGCATACAGTTTCTGTTGATACGTTGTGAGTGTATTAATCATGAAGGTCAGGTTTCTAGAAGATAAAACCTAAGATGAATTCCTGAGCTTAGAGTAAATATTGTAGAGTCCTGCTCAGCAGATGATCTCAGGACCTATCAATACTTGTATTCACATGACACAAGAAGCTGAATGATGTTGGCTTCCTGAAAGGTATGCGGCTCATAAAAAGCAGCTAGCAGGAAATCAGACACGGAAGGATGAAGCTTTGTTGGAAACAATTTTTTATTCTGAGGACAATTATACTCCATGGATATGAAAGCTACTATATCCTGTCGCTAAATATCACAACCTAGAAGCCTCTAATGAACTGATTAGCATTCATGTATCTCTTGGAAGTCAGATATATGAACAGTTGGTGCACTTTGCTATTGACAAAGCTTATGATCATAAATATTCTTCGCTGAGATTAGATTGCACTCGTTTGCTTTTCCTCTTTAGACATACTAGTTTCAAAGTAATTAAATTCATTCATTGCAAAGATTGTTTACTTTAATTAGGACTGACAACAAATCAGATCTTGAATATTAAATGCATTCATACAGATCTTATTAAAATGGCAAATTGCGAGCTTCTTAGATCTTAGAAAATAGAAGAATTTGGAAATGAAAATGCATAATAAATAAAATATATTTAACTAAAGTTTGGGTTATTAAGGCTCAAACTTTGTTTTAAATTTTAGTGCTGTTAGTTGAAGCACACATCAAATGTTTGATTCATCCACCAATTCTGGGAGAATGTGTATATTATCCAAGTTGTTAAGGATGCAGTTTTACAAGTAGATATTTAGTGTGAACAATCATAATTTAGTGAACTGTTAATCTGTTAATCAAATTGTCTTAACTTATGATACAATTTTTTTTTTTTTACTATATCTTTATTGATTTCAGAGAGAGGAAAGGAGAGGGAGAGAGAGATAGAAACATCAATGATGAGAGAGTCATTGATCGAGCCCACAACCCGGGCATGTGCCCTGACCGGGAATCAAACCCCAATCGCTTGGATCCTGGGTCAACGCTCAACTGCTGAGCCACGCCCGGCTGGGCATGATACAATTTTATTAAAATAGGAAATTTTATTAATAGTGTTCAATTATAGCATATTGTACTTTTATTTTTCCAGTACATGCTCTTTATTTACATATGCTTCTCAATATTAAAAAAAATGTGAATTTAGTACATCCTTTAAAAGGCATGCACAATTATTTCACACATATCACTTGACTTTTAGTAATAATGCTGTTGCTTTCCAGTTGCCAAACCTGCCCAGAAATGTAATTAGAATTGAATAGTTCCAATGCTTAAAAAATGTGTAACACAAATTCAAGGTGGGGTCATTAGTACTGTTAGGTACAGCTATTATATGTGAGGTGTACACACATATTAAACTCTTATCAGTGAGAAAATTAAGAAAGTGCCAGGATTTCTGTCATGCAGTGCTTATTCCCTTCTTTTGACCTTCAAATTCTGAATCTTTATTATTTTAAGGGGAAAAAATAGATCCTAGAATATTGCCCATGAAATTCTCTTTGCATAAGCCTTAATCTTTCTATTTCCTTCTCTTCCTACCCCCTCTCCCAAGTCTCTTAGAAAAAATAATTTTGCTAGACATTTATATATTTTTATATTCATCACAACTTATATAGCAAGTTACTTGACTCTTTCCTATGTTACAGTCTTTAAATTTCTTCATTGCGACCCTGCTTTATTTTTGCCTTTTCTTTTTTTATTGTTCCACTATATAGCAATGTTTTAATCACTTGAAATTTCGATGTAAATGTTAAAACTACTTTAATAAATTCCTTGAGAAAAAGACATCTATATCCAACACTGCATAAAATACAGCATTTTTCAGGTAAAGGAATTCGGTACATTTTTATTTAATTAAACTATAGTTAGGAAATAAAGTTGAAGAGTGGAATGGGTGAGATATAAACTTGTATAATACACGGTCCCCTTGCAGGAGTGAGAAGTGAGTAATTGGGTGATTTGTAAGAGCAGATTTTTCTTCTCTTAAATCAGTCTTATCTTTCCTCCGTTCTTTTTCCCTTGCCTGTCTTCCATTTAACCCATTCTCAACAAACTTGTAAGACTTGGGTTAAAATATCCTGCTCCCCATCCTCTGTGAATCTTCAGATTTATATTTATATTGATCTTTTTCTTCTCTGAATCTTATTGCATTCACAAAAGTGGTTACACAGTTTAGTGTTCACTGCCTTTTTAGTCATGCCTCAGTTGCTCAGTCAATGCCACCTTCTCAGTCAGGACTTCACTGACTACCCAACATAGATTAGCCTTGCCACTCTGTGTAACATCACAGAGTTTTTTCTTCACCATACTTATCACTGTCTGAATATCTCATTTATTTACTTTTTCATTATCTATCAGTACACTCTAGAATGTAGGTTGTTTTCCCTAGTGCCCAGAAGAGGGGAATAGAGTGGAGTTCAAGGAATACTTATAGATTGGCTGGCTGGCCGGCCGGCTGGATCCTGGGTGCTAAAGATGTATACAAAGTATTGGACATGTATGACTGATTGAAGCTGATCCGTTTCAGATGTGTTAATGGAAGTAATAGACATCTTTTGTGGGAAAGTACAATAACGAGGGCAAGACATAAGAATAAATGGAGAATATATTAGTGCTAGGTCGTTTGGGAATGAGCTATACTTGTTGACCAGGAATTGAATCCCAAATCTTAGTCTTGCTACTTAGTTGGCTAACACTAAGTATTTGTGGTTCAGCAAGTGTGAACACAGATCTGGTAATCAACCTACCTTTCAATGTTTCGTATAGAAATTCATGAGAATTTGGCCTTTGTCCTGGTAAAGGAATAGAAAATAGATTTCACAAAAACATCAAGTGATTGGATAAATACCAATATTTTTGTAATGACTTTTATAAAATATTTATTTTGTTGAGTAGCTCACCTACTTCCCTAACACTTTATAAATATAGGACTTCATGCTGGGGAAATAAATAAGGCTTGACTACTACTAAGATGGGCAGTTTTATCCGCAGTTTAGCAGGTGGCACAAGAACACCTACATTTTCTTTTCTTTTGGGTGATGATGGTGATGTGTTTTTGTTTTTGTCTGAATATTTCACCATCTCTTGATGAGTAGCCCAACAATAATGAAGTAGAGTACCTCATTAATGTAACCATTTATTCCATCCTAGCAGACAATCATTTTAAACTGCTGAGAATTTGGCTATTTCCAAAATTGTGTAAGTTTAATCACAATTTTATCATTCTTGTTGATAATTCCAGTTATTTAAAGCTCTACTTTATTTCCCTTGGGAGCAAATTGTTTTATAGATAACAATGATAAGAAAATTAACTTACAAAGCTCTCAGTTTTAGAACAAAATCATGTAATTTTTATGGTTTTGACTCTTGGTCTTCTTTTCCATCACATTTTTAATAGATTAAGTATGCCTAGGCATATTCCAAATATTTCATTAACTTTTGGTTCATATCTGAAAATCTAAAAAATGCTCTTGGATAATTCTTATAGCTTTAATTTAACCTATTTACCAAATTTATTCTTGAGAATAGACATACTCCTAGGTATTAGAATTACTAGGATTTGTGAAGTCCTTGTTTTAAAGCTCAAAGCCTCATAAGCAGTGATAGGGGCAGAAATTAGTAGCTATAGAACCATACAGTTAGAAACACCAACAAAAATAGGGTAACCTATTGTCCAGGATGACTGTTTATAGACTCTCTTAACTCTTAACATTACATTGAGATTGTTTGTGTGTAGGAATGTGTATATGTGCAGTCTTTCATCAGAATTTTGAGAAGACCTGTTACCCTTCCCACCAAAGTTCAAGAATGATGACACTAGGATGAAATAAATAACTGGTACCAATGTAGTTGTAGATGATTAGACTTAATACAACTAAGAAGGTGGGGCACAGCATTTAGAGAAGGGGCTGACTGTCAGAGGTGACCACCCCCTAGAAATGGGGCAAGAACAAAGCACTACTAGGGAATTGGATTAGAAGGGAAAATTCACAGCATCATTACAGATGAGTATAATGAACTATAAATGCTATACGTATTCACTGGAAAAAATGATCACTCATAGCTGTAGAAAAGAAAGCTTTGTGGAAGGGGAAGAATTTAATGAAGCTTGAATGGTAGGTTTATGCCTGCGAAGGCAGAAAACAGTTTTTCTTTTATACAGATATTAAGACTACTATATAAATAACCCATGTGGATACAGTCTCTATCTGGGACATTAATAATTTTAGGTGAGAGATTATAGATGTAATAGATAAACCCAGTGTTGATTTCTGAATTTATTAATTATTTCACTTTACAAATGAATCACCATATGATGAAACTAATCTAATGGTGTTTTCTGAATGCATGTCAAATGTGATTTTTATTTACATCAGTTCATTTTACCTACAACATTCCATGAATATGGTTATTTCATAAGACAATATATGGAAAACTGTTCCGTGTAATTACATTGTTATAATTCCTTGTGATTTTGTGATTTGACTAATTATAAGAAATTTTTGTTGCTCACCTAAGATTTAAAGAATGATACCACATAAAAATGCATCAACTATTATTATCTAGAGTCTACAAAGTATAAGGAGGCATTTCACTGCTCAGTTGAATATAAACCGAGCCACAAAAAGATCTATAGATTTTCTTAAGGTCATTAAAAAAAAAAAAATCAGCTCTTGCATTAAAATTCAGACTCCATATATTCTAAAATACCGTGTGTGTGTGTGTGTGTGTATTCAGACTCCATATATTCTAAAATACCATATGTGTGTGTGTTTATATTCAGACTCCATATATTCTAAAATACCATATATAATATATACATATATATAATTAAGTATAAAAAAACCCCACAGACATAGAAGAGCAATAGGAACCTGTGGACTGACTGTAGACATGGATACACATGGGTTGTGATTAACTGGGATGCCATGGTTCCTTGTGGGGAGGCTGAGTTCTCATTAATAAAATTATTCTGTGGCCCCTGGATTCACCACCTATCTGGCAGTAGTGCTGCCTCTTTCATCCTTGGTCTTTATTTTTTTCTCAAAGTGAAGGGATCAGATCATTTGCTTTATTTTACCATCCGCTGGGGAATGCTCTGACAGAGGAACTGTATGTTTTTGAAGCTATGGAAATTTTTTCTTTTTAGATAAAAACATTCTGTTTTTGGTTTGTTTCTCTTGGTATGAATCTAGTTATTCTTGTTACTGGCTTTTTTTTTTTTTTTTTAAAGTGGTGATGTCTATCCTTTTTTTTAATGTCTTTATTGATTTCAGAGTGAGGGAGAGAGAAACATCAAAGATGAGAGAGTCATTAATCAGCTGCCTTCAGCATGGTCCTCACTGGGGATCAAGCCTGCAACCCAGGCATGTGCCCTGACTGGGAATCAAACTGCAACCTCCTGGATCCTAGGTTGACTTTCAACCGCTGAGCCACACCAGCTGGGCTGTTTATCCTTTTGTGTTAGAGATGATAGGATGACTTCAGTCAGTTTGATTCTGTGTGTTCCATTTATTTAAATGCCCCAATTTAAAGGAACGATAAACAATTATGATTGGCACTCTAACAGAGTCATCTTTTCAGACTGGTGATTTTATGTCTGACTGCATCAGCAATATATCATGCCACAAAGAATTCCATGTTTTGTTTAGAAAATGTGTTCTAATGCCACCACCACATTCACATTTGGTCTCAGTCTCAGTGTGCTTGAACTAAGTTGTTATAAATGAGAGAAGTAAATCTCCTTGTGTATGTATGATCATAATTTGAAATCACTTGATGCATACTACCAATTTTCTGAAAGATACATTAAAACATGAATTTACTTCCATAATAAAATAAGGTTTAATTGTAGCTCTTAAAAATTTATTTTTGATTGCCTTTCCAACCTTAAAGCTTAAAATGAGTAAGTGGACAGTAAAATACCAAGTGTCTATATGCACTCTAAATGCCATTCATTTTTCTAAGAACTTTGCGTGTATTAGCTCATTTAGTCCTCACAGCAAGTCATATTAAGATAGCTGATATTACTCTCATTTTACAGGTGAGGCAATTTTGGCACAGAGAGCTGAAGGCATTTCCTCACAGGCACAATACTACCAAGTGTAGGAGCTAGAAGTTGAACCCAGGTTGTCCCATTTAACTGCTGTGCTTAATGAGTATGTTATTGATTTCAGTACCATTGATTTTACTCAGTAGCAACTACTGAACTAGAATTTTAAATCATATTGCATGATCTGTATAATATAGATAGGCAAACTGGAAGAAAAATTTCCTTGAATTCAGTTGTAAAAGAGAAATATTAACTGTATAAATGTTTAACTTTTTTTGATAATTTTGCCAGAGTTAATTAGAAATTGAATTTAAGATTTCATCACTGTACAGTATAGATTGAGTCATGAGAATGGTTAACTTTTAGAGCTAATTTGTCATTTTGGAGATGTGTAATAGTAGCTAACAGTTACATTAAAACATTTTTTTCTAAACATTACTTTGAAATTTCAAAATTCCTTAACTGTACTATACAGTTTTGCTATCAGTGCAAAGGAACAATATGAGAAACTTTCCAAGTTACATGAAAACATGGAAAAGCTATACCAGAGCATCATGGAATACTATGCCATTGACATGAAGAAGGCGTCCGTGGAAGATTTCTTGACTGACTTAAGTAACTTCAGAACCACATTCATGGTATGTTAAAAATTGTAATTTTTTTAAAAAAAAGTATTTGTATCTATACTATCTCATCTATTACTACTTTTACTTCATTACTTCATTCCACTCCTATTGTCTAGTAAAACCTATCTTTTCTGATGTTGAAAGTTAGCCTTAAAATTTTGTATTTTAAATCGATTGAAAAATGTGATTTGTTGCCTTTTTGACTTTCCCAATATTAAACTGTAATCAGAAATTTTGATTGAAAAATGTGACAAATTCTGAAGTTTTTCATAGAGACTCCCCTCCTTGCTGATTACAGAGCACTGTTGTAATAAGTTTGTGGCTATAAATTTGTTTCTTTATACTTGCGATCAATTTGTATTTTTGTGGTGTAATTTAACCAAATTCCGTGCAGCTCTTATGAACCTTTTTCCCCCTTTTCTTTTCTTAATGTGTTGTACAATAAGCTACCTGCAGTTTGCCTTTGAATGGATTTTACATTCCTAGGGCTTCCTTTAGATACTTTAATAGGGAGGTCACGTCTTTGATGTGGAATCCTTTCATTTAGGCATTAAAAAGATCTTTTGAAAAGTATTAGCCGATTAGATGGGGGAAAAGAACCACACACATTAAAATGAGAAGGCATTGTTGCCTCCCTAGGGAACTGGTGATACATTTCTGCAAAGAAAAAGTATGTTATTCTTAATAGATAGGTAAGTCATTTTGGTATTTCAGCAAATGTTAGTGGGGGATTAAAAAGTTTTTGAAGTGTAAAGAAAACAATGTTTGGATTTAAAGAGCTAGGTTTTTTGGTTTTTAAAAAATCTCAGGAAAACTTTATTGTTGAATTTATTGGACTTGGTTATAATCCGTTGGTTATGATTAGGTAGCCTTTTAATGTCAGTATTTTAAAGGAAAATTGGTCTGTCTGCCTTAAATATACATTTTGCTTATAGCTTTGGTTTCTTTCCTCCACAAATTCAAAGTGATTCTTTAAGTTATTTTTATATCAGAAATGAATTTGATTATTAAATATATTATGTGCCTATATGTGTGATGTATTGAATGATATGTTATTTTAATTTTTATGTTTCTGAGGCAACATGGCGTAGTGGAAGAAGCAAGGGTTTTGCAGTCTGAAAGATCTAGCTTTGGATTGCACACCAGTTAAGTGACTATGAACACTATTTAACCTTCCTGAGACTCAGTTTCCATATTTGTAAAAGGGGACGTTAATTTCTTTCTCATAAGAGTATTTAAATATTAAATGAGATAATATATGTTGCTGTTTATCATAGCTTTTGGCATATGGTAATTGCTTAATAAATTGTTACTCAGTAAAGGGTTATTGCCAACCTTGAACATTTCCAAAGAAAGCTCTGATCCTTGCCTGACTCCTGGAAGATCACCTCTAAGCCCTTGGAATAGCCTACCTGGTAAGGGTTCTTTGTATACCTAGGACCAGGCTAGATAGTTTATGCTAAAAATGTGATTTATGGTGAATACCTGTTTTTGTTCACTTGACTGTGTCAGGTGTTCCTCTGTGGGGTGCTGGAGACTGAGTAGCTAAGGTCATTCATGCAGGAGATCCATGCCTACATGACTGACCTCCCCAGTAAACACTCCTGACATCAAAGCTTGGGTGAGCAGCCCTGGTTGGCAGTATGCTTTATGTGTTGTCACACATCATTGCTGGAATAATCAAACTCCATTGGGAGACTACAGTATGATTTTTATCTATTTCCTTTTCCTGTAATAAACTGTAACAGTGGATAAAACAGCTTTTCTGAGTTCTGTGAGTCCTTCCAAAAAATTATCCAACTGGAGGCTTCTCTTGGGGACCCCTGACACAATTATGCATAAAATTGTAAAATACATGTATGAAATAATATCCGTTATATATTGAATATTTTCTATATATTATTTTTCCAAATGCCTTACATATATTATCTCAGCCAATCTTCTTAATAATTATCTGTCTTTTTACTATACCATCTCTCTGTGGCAAATGAAGAAACTGAGGCACAGAAATGGAACACATATAGCTCAATGTGACAGAGGTATAAAATGGTAGAACTAGAATTTGAACCCATGGTCTTGCTCCAGAGCCAGTATTCTTAAATGCTGTGTCTTGCTGCCTCCCATGTTCTATAGCTTGTGTTTCACTTTACAAAAGCACTAGCATTGGAGGGCTTTCTAAGGCGATCAAGTCCATATTGTAAGCAGTTGAATTGGGATTTGAATCAAGGTCTAATTCCCAATCATTCTGAAATCTGGTCGGATTAGAGAGTTTGGGTGTTCTGTGGGTAACTTGGAGTTTCTGTGAGTGAGTGGTGGGCAGAGGGAGAAAGGAGGTGTTTGAATGAAGAAGGTTCAGAAAGGAGGGGAAAGGAGTGGCAATTGTCCTTTGCCTATTGCAGAGTTCAGATGGTTCCTAGAAGTAGCTGCTATTAACACATACACCTGTACTAAATTAAAATCGTTAGAGCTAACTGTTTTTTAAAAGCATTTTTATCTAAATAAATAATTTGGAGATGAACTTTTTCTTAAGAATAAAAATAAGCATAAAGAAGACTGGACAGGAAGTACAATTTTGCACCCATTTTGTTCCTTTTTTTCTGGTGAATACAGTTATACTGCTTGAGTTTTAGACACTGTGTCTTAAAAAATACCAGAGTGTCAATATTAACAGAAATTATTGACAAATATCTTGTTTTCCAAAATCTTCTGATGTCTTCAGTTGCTATTTAATTGCATACTTATTCAACTTTGGAAACCAAGTTAACCTCAGTGAGCTGCTATGAAAATATTAGCAGCGATGGATGCGAGACTTTGATGCGTTGAAGGTCTGTTCTGGAAAGCCACATTAATATAGGCAAAAAGTATATTTTCTTTTTAAGAAAATAGTGTTAAAATGTGTTTGCATTGTTACTTTATCCATTGGCACTTAGGTATACTCCTCATAAATGAGCAAAATTTACCATACAGTGGCTGCCTACTTTGTATTACATGTAAGGAGCCAGGAACCACTGTCTTCCCTCCACGCCTGCCTTCCACTGGCAGTTTTACATGGAATGCTTTATCTCACGTTCAGGCCAGTCTACGATTGCTCTTTCCTGTCTGGAGGGAGCATTCCCTCCACGTTTGCCTGGTCATATTATTGTATGCACCTTTCTGACCTCTGCTTGAGCACCATCTAGTTAAGACCTGAGATCTATGTGTGTCTGGCTTACCTTTGGGTTTCTGTGTAATTAATGGGATATAATTAATAGATAAATTTATTAAGTAACCAATATTCTCATCTACAATGAGTGGTATGCTTTAATAGCTAACTCACAGTGCCAAGTGCCAGGCACTGGATTCATTCATTTAATTTTTGTTGTTGTTAATCTTCACCCGAAGATATTTTTTCCATTGATTTTTTTCAGTGGAAAGGAGGGAGGGAGGGAGGGGAGAGAGAGGCAGGCAGGCAGACAGACAGACAGACATAGACATGATGTGAGAGAGACACACAGATTGGATGCCTTCCGCATGAGCCCTGATGGGGACCAGGGATCAAACCTGTAACCCGGTAGTGCCCTTGACCAGAATCGAGCCCGTGAACCTTTGGTGCAGGGGGCTGGTGCTCTAACCACTGAGCAACACCAGCCAAGTCTCATTAATTTTTAAGAATAAACAGATATGGCATGTATAGTGTTATTATACCCATTTTATAGATAAGGAAACTGAGGCTTAGAAAGGTTGTGACTTGCCTGTTGTTACATAGCTAGCAAGTGACAGCTGATTTGCTAACCAGGGGAGTCTGGCTCCAGAGTCTGTGTCATCTATGGGTAAACTTTATTAACTTCTATTACACATTAGGAGTTATATTTAACAGACTCACAGGACTGACATGAAACCTGACTCCTCCCCCCAAAAATGTGGTCACCTTTACTTTTAATAGTAATTTAGTTCAGAAATAATTTATTCAAAAATATTTGTTTTAGGATTGCCCCAGATTTTATACTTAAGCAATTAAAGATGGACTCACTTTTATTCAAAGACCTTTACTATAGTTTTGACTGATTCATACAATCTCTCACTGGTGTGTCTGGGATCTCACAACTAATTTGTGTGGATTTAGCTGGTCTCTCTCTCTCTCTCTCTCTCTCAGTCTTTTTATAGTAGCTAAAAAAGGAATACCTTTTCCAGTCCACAGCCTCAAGCTATACAGACCAAGGGGGTACATGTCATGATCTTGGAGCTTCCCCTGAGGAAGAGCTCTTTATTTTGACAGCAGTTTAACTCACCCCTTCTCTTATTGGGGTTTCTCAACTGGGAATTGATTTGTTGTTGTCATTGTTTCAACAATCTACTCTAGGCAGCATGATCATAGGGAATGATTTTTTATTTAGAACTATTGATTAACTTTCAAAAATAGGGAGTAAGTTTACATTGTAATTTTATTTAGCTTTTTGTTATTACCATCTTCAACAGGACAAAACCAAAAACAACCACCAGTGATTGTTTCCTTCTTGCTAGACCCTGTGCTAGTGCTTTACATGTCTCTCACTTGTTCTTCACACTGTTTTTGAGAGGTACAGATTTTACTCATGAGCTTACTGCAGAGTAGAGAACCTTAGTGCCTTTGCATAGGCCCTGCAGCGCTGGTAGAGGCAAGGGTTAATGGAGACCTGCCCGGCTGCAAAGCTTGGACATTATTTTTTTTTAGAGTTTATAATACGTTGCTGCTCAGAGCACTTGTAAGAAAAGTCAATGTAATTTTTTAAGATGGTTTTTTAATAACTTAATAGAGAGAATCAACACAAGGCATACTTTATTTCTTTACTCTTTTATATAATAGCTTGGTATTTACATTGATGGGTTCATGATAGAATGCTTGCCGGTCTGCCTTTATTTCAAAGGCTAAAATGTTCTCCTTTAAAATTAGAGGCTGTTTAACGGCAGGAGTGAGGGTTACGGAGAGGGGCAAAGAGTTGGCACCTTTATGTGACAGATTTTTATTTCCTTTAGGACTCCTGTGAAGCATAAAG